GTTTCATTTGCAATAGTTTCCTCATACTTGATTTCATGAAATTCCAGGCCTCCTCTACATTAAAGTCCCTCAGCTGTTCAGTCCAGTGACATCTTAAACTAATTCCTGTAGTTTCTCAAAGAATGCCCTTTTGAAACAAAACAAAATATAGTTTATAGCCTGGCTTTAATGAGCTTTCCATTTTATTTAGACCGAAATCAACTCATGATTGCTTGATCCGAGGTTATTCTTGCAATCAGCTCTGCTGTGATGCCCTCACTTCTTACCAAAATCAAGTCTGAAATTGAATCACCTGTTGTTGATCAGTGATGATTTGATAATGAGAACCATCATCCATCACATCCAGCAATAAATGGGCCCAGCCAGTATTAATAGCATTTATTTTCCGGTCACTATCTAGGAAAAACTTATAAAACAACAGATGGCCTTTGCAGCACTTTATAAACTAACAAAACATGTAGATGGTGTCATGAGCTTTCATGGGCACAGCCTGATAGTCTCCCATTATGACATCATTCCCGGTAGAGTTTATCTTTCTAATAGGACTGGCGCGATCCTCCGGAATAAAGCCCTATTCCGGAGGATCTCTTATTCCTACTTTCAAGGGCTTTATTCCAGAGGATCGCGCCAGTCTGGACGCTCTTTTCCGGCTTTTCCCCAAGCCGGGAAAAAAGCGGCGGCCATGTTTATTTAAATCCCGCGGGGGATATTTAAATCCCCTGCGGATTTCCCTATTCCAAAGTTCGAAATTAGCATGCCTATTCCGGAGAAGGGGCCAGTGTAGACGTAGCCATAGTAATAAAGAGATCTCTCTCTATGTCTGAGCCCAACCCAAAGGTTTCTAACACATCCCAAATATTATCCCAGTGGAATCTCTTGTACAATCTTTCCCCAACATGGTTTTGACCCCAACAGATTCTGTTTTGTCTATACTACTGAGAGAGCAAACAACCGTGTTGTATATATTTCCTATTGGGAGTTGTGTTATACCAGCTTTTTAATCATTTTTAATAACAATGGAAGTGTTTAGATACTACTATCATGGTTGTGAATGTGAGAACCTAGGTAGAGCGGACATTTTGTTGGTGTGTGAGGCTGGAAAGAGACTGTTATGATGTTTTCATTGTTATTAGGGGGATTGTTTTCAATACAAGAGTTAGATTTATAATTGTTATTTCAAAGTCCTTGTATAATTTTTACTTTGAGAGAAAATATACAATTGCAGTCTAAAAAGATCATATGTGGTATTTTATTAAATATTGAAATGACACGAATGCTTATGTTTTCTTCATCTTTATTTCTGATTAAAGTATATTTCATAAAGGAGACATTCAATTGCTAACCACAGCCACTGGTGATTTAGTAATAAGCTCTCCTGATCTTTGTTGTTGTTGTGTTTCCTTTTGTTGTAATTTAGTTGCAGCTGTGTTGTTGAGTTCTGAGGACTCAAGAATAAGATGAAGAATAAGAACTTCCTGTTTGTCAAAGTACATAATTATTATCATGGTTTTGATATAAATGAACTGTATACAACTTTTTCCTCCAGTGTTGTGCTGTAATGGGCATTAATTAAAAGCCAAAATATAATTAATGCATCTCTTTGATGTAATTAATTTGTTCATATTACTGTGGAAGTGGTGTGTTTTTAATTAAATTTATCTTACAAGAAATTCAAATGCCTTTCTGATCTACTAGAATAAAAGTTGGATCCAATTGGACTATAACAATGTGGTTTATAATCATATATAATACATTTTGTTCTGAAAGGTGGATATTTCATATTCAAATTTAAAGCTCTATTACATTTTAAATCATTTAAAAATATGTAATTTCTAGGCAAGTGTGTTCTTGCTAAAGCAAAATTATTTAATATATTCCAAATAGGATTCTAAATGGTTTTAGTTCTTAAACAATTGCTTTGAGTAATGTGTTTTGAGATTTTTGAATTGTGGAGCTCAAGTGCTATATTCTGTCTTATAAACACAGGATGAGGGAAGGACTTTGATATGTAGAATTTGTCCTATATTTTGTTGTTAATAAAGAACAAAATACTTGTTTGTTTAGGGGGAAAACATCTGAAATGTCAGAGAGATTTTTTTAAATCTAATTTTCTGGAAATTTTTGTTCTTGCTGGGGATGTAAAATCCCCTGTAATTGGTTAAACAGTTAAATGAGACATTTTAACCGGTTAACCAATTGAGGGGGGGGGAGGGTTGCGCTCCAGCTCAGCCCAGTCGAAGCAGCCCCTACACAGGCCAGGCTGGAAACCTGGAGCAGCCCCTGCCTGCGACTCCCAGAGATGCCCCTGTCCCTGGTGGGCCCTGTGGGTCTGGGGCAGCTTCTGCCCATGTCAGGTGGAGAGTGGTTACCCTACCAGTTAACTGGAACCAGTAAACATCACCTGGTTAACCTTTCACGTCCCTGGTTCTTACCCAGACTGGAAGCTCATGTTCTGTACACCTTGATGTTAAAGAGAATGTTGCATAGCAGCAAAGAGTTGATATCTTAACTGTCCTGTAGCTCCTGATCTGCTAACATAGTATCTGACAGTTATTCTGACAATTAATATTGATAGAAATAATAATAATCTTTCAACAAAAATACTGCAATATTTTAATAAGGATCTAAAATCTTGTTTTATTGGCTAACTGGTTATATACAATGTTTAATCAGTTAAAGGTGGGGAGGGCCAGGAGATTGTTCCAGCCCACCTGGCCAGGAGTGCCTCTCTCTTCCCACTGTGGCTGTACTGGAGCAGACCCACCATCACAGGCAGGGACTACTCCATCTCGCGCCAGAGGTGCCCTTGCCTGTGGCGGGGGCGCCAGGCTGAGTCCGTCACGCACAGGAGCTGCGCCGGCCATTCAGTTGGAGTAGCCCTGGCATGCAGTATGCCACCGAGGCCTAGCCCATCACAGACAGATTCAAAAGAAATTGTTTCCCAAATCACTTAATTTTGCTTGGCATTGTTTTATATTAAAACAATGTGATGTGTGATATATATCTTTATGCTTATTGTCCCAAAGACCAATGTTCTAAGGCCTCAATGCTGCAAATATTTTTGCATTTAAGTCTTTTTCATATGTGAATACTTGGGAGTAAAGGTTGCACTTCTGTAAATTGGAACTCTCTGGTCTGGACCAGGATCAGAGTCCTGGCATACTGCTGGGGAGAAGAGTGGAAGGCAGCCTGGTGCCGTGCAGGGCAGGAGAGGAGGGGCAGGATCCAGGAAGCCTATAGGGGAGAGGGGGAAGGAAGGGGTGGGGCCAGCAGTATTGGAACCAGAAATGAGCTCCACTGGTTCGGCACAATACCTCCTTTGGGACCAGTCAGGTCCCAAGAATGCCGGATCAGAGAGGTCTAACCCGTACTTGCATGCCAAATTAGGGGCCTAAACTATTGCTAAATGTAGTTTTCTGGAAAGTAACCATTTTTTTCTTATACCATTTTAATCTTTAGCAATGTTTTTGCTTAATTCTAAAGGAATGGTAAAATTTTATTATTCATTAGCCATGCTAAATATGAAATTTAGGATAAAATTACCTTGGTAAATCATTTCTGGCTTAATCCTGAAGTCCTTACACAGAGTTCAAGCAAAACTTCTACTGCCTTCAATGACTGCCTGAGTAAGAACTGCAGGAACCTAAGTACATTTTCCTAACCTACCTCCAAATTGGCACTACATTGGTAACGCTATTCTTGATTTACTCTTTATGTTAGGGGAGTACACAAATATCCCAATCAAATTGGGACCACATTGTACTGGACTTTGAACAAATAAAATAAGATTATGACTTCTTAAGTTCAGCTTTATGTATCCTGTATTATGTTAGACATTGTTTGATATTATAGTTTGTTATAATACAAAACAATTGGAGTTAAGATATATAGGTGTGCACTTTTATAATTGTACATTTGTGGTATACTTGCAGGTCAGAGGTATTTTGTTAACTGCTTACATTTATTTTTCATTTTTTTTCATGTTTTAGTTTTATTTTTACCCTTTGTCTTACATGCTTCTCAGCCTACATGTTGTTTTGAATATTGATAATTTTATATTTAAAAGTGATACAAGGCCGTCTCTTCCTTCAAAGATATGGATAGAGGTGTAGAAGGGAATGTATTCTCAAAACCCTTCCGTAATTTCAAAATAATAACTTCTTGGCATAGTGATGCAAAATTTAGAGACTTACTGTGTTGCTATGATTGCTGCCTATGACATGATGGTGATGTCAGTCAACCCTCTTTTCTCACATTTTCACTTTGTAGGTTTATTTTTTAAGTCATTTCGCAGACCTTTTAACCTTATTGAGGGTTGAAATACTCTGCGTAAATCAGTAAAGGGTTGAAATTTTCCCTATATGAACTAGGTTAGCAGCTAAGTAAATTTGGGAGAGAGTGCCTATGCCTGCATGTGCTTTGCTTTCCAGAAACTTTTGGTTGCTTGCTTTATTTTTTTAATTTCTTTATTTTTATGTTGCTGAGTTTTATACATCTATTTTCTCACCTGCCGTATCCTAGGGGGCTTGGAGTACCAATAATACAGTGAGCCCACCTTCCTGGTCCCCAGACATTTCAGAAGGTCGGGACATTTTTAAATCCAGACAGCTTCCTGGCAGTGCCATTTGGAGCATCAAAGTGGTAAATAATTTGTATTTATATTCATGTATCCATTGCTATCTTTCTGCTATAGAGGCTACCAATAAAAACTGTGTATAGCTCAACTGAATTAATCTTCCATTTTAATACTGTTAACTTTGGCTTTTTAAGAAAACCATTGAAGTCTAGAGCTTTTTCAATTAAAAAATATAAACTTACCAGAACATAACACAGAATGTTGTGGCATTGCATAAATTTTGAATTTAATAGGACAAAATAATTAATAATACCATTGTAATAACTTTTTTTTTTGGTCGGGGGGAAGTGGAGTGAAGGCTATTGCTGTTAAATAGTTATCAAAGGAGTTACTTAAGGGAGAGAGAGCGTGTGTCCTGAAGACTGCTGGCAGTAAGGAGAGCCAAACTGAAAAGGACTGAGCTCTGGGCTGTTGGCAAAGTATGTTTCTGTGGAGACATATTGCAAAAGGCATTCACAGTGACACATGTTTAAACACAACTTTTTGACTGTCTTGGAAGGAGCGAGGCTATTGCCCCATTAATATCTACCATCTACAGAAACTGAGGGCTTGTCTATACGGAGCAGCAAGTGTACACTTTAGGGAATGATTTCTAAAGCACACTAATGTGCATTACTTGGTCCACATAGGCCCTGCTGGTATGCACTGAAAATTCCCTAATGCGCTTTTAGCATAATGCTGTTTCAAACAGCACCACGTTAAAGCAGGCTAAATAATTTTTAGTGCACACTAGCAAAATCTACATGTCCCCCTCTCCAAGTGTGCGTTGCTGCTCTGTGTAGACAAGCCTGCTGTGGATTTACTACTACACTAAAAAGAGAGAAAAATTAATGAAAAATATAAAACCATAAATAAGTCACTTTTGATTTCCACTGATTTATTTTCATCTCACTTTAACTGTCATGCTAATTTGCTTTATTTTAATTTGATATTAGCTTAGCTATTGCTGCTTGAAACTTTAATTTGCAGCATAATGTCCAGCATAAACATTAATATATTGTGCTATTTCTGTTACATTGCAAGTCTTGTGAAATTAAAAATACTGATGTCTCGTCTAAAACGCGGAATGTCCGAGCATTTTATTTCTAAAGAAAGTCGATCTTTACAGTGCATATATATTTTACACTCTATCTAGAAAGAGAGAGAAATTAAATTTTGACAAGCAATATCTCCTTCTTCATTCTTATATCTAAATTGCTGTATGATTGCATAGCCTGAAAGTGGGAAAAGTGCAGAGTTACTTTAAATTATAGTTCGCAAAGTATTGTTACTAATGGATATTTGGATTCTACCTCTCAAAAATTGTTACCACACACTTCTATAAAAATAGGGGATGGTATATCTGAAACTACTATTGGCCATATAGAGGCCGTAATGTTACCTTCAATCTATGGGATTCGTATTAATATCAATGGAGACTGTACACATAGATCTAGAGCATCTTCCATTGACGTTAATGATAGTACCATATTTCATTGAGTGAATTGTTTTGTCTTTGAATTTTTGGCATCTTAAAATAATTTTAAGCAAGCATTCAGATAGACTTGTAAATGTTTTATGGACAGCAAAACTAAGTTCAAGTAGCTATTAACTTAAATTTCTTAAAATGTGTTTAAAACAAAGACAAACATTATTTACCATATAGTAAAAAAGCACAACAGAAAATCTGCTGTGTTGAACATGTACCTTAACTCTCATTGATAAAGAAAAAAAGACCTAAAGTACATGTAATCTGAATCTGGTCTGAAAAATGTCAACCACAATTCCATAGAAACATAGTCAATAATAAAATTTTCCTCTTTTGGGTGTGATGAGTGAGTTCCTTTGTGTTTTGATTTGTTTTTCCAGTTCAGTGTGAAATAAATCTTTTATTCATGAAAGCCAAATTAATTCACAATAATAATTTCAGGTAATTAACATTGAAAAAATATGAAATTTACTCCCCCTCTTTTCTCTAGTTCACTGAATTTGAATTCACCTCATCAGTTAAAGAATATGAACCCAGAATTCAGACTAAGCATCTGCAGCTTAAACAAGGGTGGGGGAAAAAAAGAATAAAACACCTTGCACTAAGTATCAGTACTACAAAGAAAATTATTATTTTAGTATTATAAATAATTGTTTAATAAAAATTAAAGTCTTGATCTTGTTCCCATTGAATCTGTGGGAGTTTAGTCATTGACCTGTGAGGGCAGGATAAAGCCCTAAGAACTTTTAATGTCTGTGTGACTATTTACAGCAAAGAAGCGTAGCTGCTTTAGAACTGGTAAAGTACCCATGCAACAGTCAAAATGTTTAGCAGGAGGCAAGATGGAGAAAATGTATTTCTGTATTACTGGTTGTGCCTGTAGTAAAAATTAGTGTTACAGGTTTAAAGTGTTACAGTTTAAAGTCTGTGAAGATCACAGACAGAGGAAAATATTTTAATCTGAAGTTAAAGATATTCTACTACAATTTATGCAGTAATTTAATAAGGATGATATAGTTGCCTATTTCCACTTGAAAACACTGTTCTTATTTATATAGTTACAAGGAAGTGTCCCTGTGCTGAAAGAGATCTGGATTGCATTTAAATTGCTCTTTTATTCTACTAGGGCCGTGGATCAGGATTTCCAGGGAAGCGGAGACCACGTGGTGCAGGTCTTTCAGGAAGAGGTGGCAGAGGTAGATCAAAACTAAAGAATGGAATTGGGGCTGTTGTCACTCCAGGGGTAAGAACTATCTTTTTGATAGTATATGTAATTTGGTGTATAATTTCATTTATCCAGCTTTTTTTACGAGAAATTTTATGTCTAAACAAAATAAGCTTTGAGAAATAGTTTTGATAACAATCTAGTTTTCATTAAATGTAATTATATACTTACAGTTACAAATAGGGAATAACTGTAGAGTTATTCATCCATTGATCCAGAACAATTTTAAACTAGCTACATTCCCTTTTAAAAGGACACTGTTGAGGGCCCAAATAACTTTTTCCACTTCCACTGGGCACTGTAGAAATGGGAAAAGCAAGGATTGTATCACCTTCTCTTGACTCTCTATAATAACCTCCAGAGGATAATCCAAGGTTTTGGGAGTCTCTGATGAGGAGCTGTCCATAGAAGGCTTTCCATCTTTGGGTCCCAATTGAGTTTTCCAAACCATGAGATGTCAGTATTGTCTTGCAGCATTACCAACAGTTCCACTCATTACTGGTCTCTTAGAAGAGGTTTAAGGGTAAATTTGAGCTAAATAACAGAACAGAACACTCAGAGCCAGCTCTGGTGGCTGTAAACAAACTAAATTAGTAGAACATAATACATAAGGAGATTTCCTTAAAATCAAAACAGTTTAATTGATCATATTTACACATCAGTTTTGAAAAATCATGATGATTTTGTTCAACCAAGAAGCAGGGGAAATAAGCACCTAGTTCATTAATACCAGGTTGAAATAGAGCTACTCCTAATCAAAGGGTATGTCTAGACTACATGCCTCTGTCACCAGAGGCATGTAGATTAGGCTACCAGACATAGGAAAATGAAACGGCGATTTAAATAATCGCCGCTTCATTTAAATTTACATGACTGCCGCGCTGAGCCGACAAACAGCTGGCGACAGAGGCCTGTAGTCTAGACGTACCCTTAGTGTTAAAGCTCCTTGGCTAAGTCTTCCCCTTCAGAAGCACACAAACAGCTGGTCAGCTGTTTGTCGGCTCAGCGCGGCAGTCATGTAAATTTAAATGAAGCGGTGATTATTTAAATCGCCGCTTCATTTTCCTATGTCTGGTAGCCTAATCTACATGCCTCTGGCGACAGAGGCATGTAGTCTAGACGTACCCAAAGGAACCTACCAAAAGACCCCCTTCATTCAAGTGAAAAAAGAATTGGAATATCACAGTTTTTCCCTTCTTCTCTATATTTTTTTTAAAACCTCTAATAGAATAAATTTGGTAATTCAAGCATTCTTTTTAGTGTTTTACCAAATATGATTGAACATAAAAAAAAAAAGTTAGAAATTATTGTTCATGTATGTGCATTTGAGAAATCCATTATAACGTTTATGTATTTGTCAAATGTTAGTTGTCTTTTTTCTTTCCTATATGCTGCTCTCATATGGCACAGAAGGGTAACTAGTTTGTGTGTTAAATTTTAAATCAGAAAACAGTGAATTATTCTGCTTTTCTGGGTTTGTTTCCCAGACATAATCTTGTAATGAAGTTTTGTTAAGACACTTCCAAAATAAGCCAAGGATATTTTATCATTATTTATTTAATCAATTGTATCTAATTACTGAATCAGCATAAAGATACACAATGGTGTAATTATATGCAATTACAAAGTAATATAACATTTTTAAAATTCTTACTGAATTTTGTGGCGAACCATTTTATGCATAACATATAGCTTTCCAAAGTCTGGCTCGGGTTATTTGAAAATATTTCAATGAAATGATAACTTTGTGTTGCAGTTAAAGTATGGAACAGTTGTTTAATAAAATGAAAACATTGTGTTACAGATGCGTAAAACCACATTTTAAAAGTCCTCATATCTGACTGGGAGCTGTGTGTGTTGCCTTCATATAATCTGGATGTTTAAATTGATGTTTTTGTATCTGTTTCAGAGCAGGGGGATTTGCTTGTAGGCTGTGGTCTAAATGTCTATGCAAAGTTTTCAACCAGGAGCTAATTTTCACAGTCACATTATAAAACTCTATAGAAACTCATGAATGGGAACAGCTGCACAACCTTAATTTCTATCCATCATATCTTTACTACAAATGGAGCACTTATCTAAATCAAGTACAAAAAATAGATAGGTAATATAGAATAAATTGCTTCAGTATCATTGTTCTCCAGTTGCAGGTATATACTAAACCTTAAATAATGAAATGTGCCATTAAATTTATATTTATTAATGAGCAAGAAAAAGAGCAAATTTAGAATATTCAGATAAATTTCCATTTAGCACAAAGCACATTTCTCTCAAACTGTTCTGGCTTCTCAATTCCCCCTGTGAATCCCAAAATGCACAGAATGCTGTTTAGAAATAGGGGGAAGACTGCTGCCAAAACATTTGACCTCTCTGCTTTACTTTTCCTAACCATGAAAGGAGACAGGATGCATGATTAAAAGAGAAAAAAGATGCAGTTTGGCCATAAGTGTGTAATTTCTGGCAAATGTGGATTTTACTGGTGATATTTTTGTCTTAAACATTTGCATAGTTTCCTGATGAATACACAGAAGTACGAATCTTGAAACAGCATTTTTTTTTTTACAGTTTACAATAGTCTGTGTATTTTGTATTCTGAAAATACTGTACTCCTTGTTCAGTTCTAGGAGGAGTGAAAAGTATGTATTTTAGGCTATGAAAATATTTTAATATGGTGTTGTCTTTTGTAGGTCACTACAATGGATGTTTCATTTAACAAAGATGAGGAAGAAAATTCGATGCATAATACAGTTGTACTATTTTCTAGCAGTGACAAGTTCACTTTACATCAGGTTGGGATACCATTATTCTGATTGTTGTAATGAAAAAGGAATTAATATCTTTGTTATGAGTTGAATTATCCAGTATAAGGGTGGGGTTTTATTTTAAAGCAGCTTCATAGTTTTGGATTTTAGTCTATTGGTACATCTTTGACATCTGTTCTTTTTGTCATTCTAGGATATGTGTGTAGTTTGTGGGAGTTTTGGCCAGGGTGCAGAGGGCAGGTTGCTTGCATGCTCTCAGTGTGGTCAGTGTTACCATCCATACTGTGTCAGTATTAAGGTAAGTGCTTTATTAAAATTATTTGACACTATTTGCATATTTTACTTGCATAGCACTACATTGCTTCTAGTTTTGTTTTAATTAGGAGAGTTGTTAACTTGTTAAATATTCTTCAGCTAATGTGACCATTATTTGTATTCAACTTGTGAAAGACTTTAATTAAATGTCATTTTATAGTATGCACTGCCTCAAGAGAAATTAACCTTTTTTCTAATTCCGCAGCCATAAATAGCACTTATTATCTAGCAGTTGGTTAAAATAATATGTTGAAATGTAATCTTAAAATCTTAACACAAACAGAATGTTTTTAAGAAAGAAATTTAGTGCAACTTCATTTGTAGGGCATCAAGTTTAGTTGATTCAATGTGTCTGTTGGCTGTCAGAGTTGACAACAACTGGAGTAATTAATACACTTCAGATTCATTAGTCTAGGAAAGAATGTGAGAAAATTAAATTTGAATGGTATGAGATGACTTAGCAAGCACATAATAAGCTATTTACTACAGCATATAAACTATAAACTGTCTGATGTTCATTATATAAGTGCAGTTATGTAAAACGTGGATATTTGTTAAGATACCACTGGGTTTTACTTTGCTTTTTACATGTGCTTTATGAAAAGTTGTATGCATTTTTCATGAGACTACAATTTGATTTTGCATTGAGATGATACTCTTAAATTATATTTAAATAACTTTAAATAGATGATTTGGTTCTAGTCACTAAAACCCCAGTGTGAGGCCTCAAAAAGAATTTGGAATGAAACAGGATTTTTTAATGAGTTTCATCTTGGCTTTGCTACAGGCAAACGTATTGTTGCACTCCCCCGTGAGCAGCCTGGGAAAGAGCTTGTGACTCTCCTGTTGCACTGGGAATAAGCTGCACTGGGTATAGATCCCAGTGCAGCATATGTTCCTTGACATGATGTTGAGCTATGAACGCTGTCACATAGTTGTGTCAGAACCTACACTCTAGTCCCTTCCCCATTCTGCTACTTCCCACCCATCTGTGTAAATAAGGGACAGATAGCAGCTTCGGGCCCAATGTTTGCTGTAGTGAAATAAATGTATATAACATTTAAAGTCTGTACAGTTGTTTGGGAATAAGTTGCACCTTTCCTTACTGTGTACAGATTACAAAGGTGGTGCTCAGTAAAGGCTGGAGGTGCCTGGAGTGCACAGTGTGTGAAGCCTGCGGGAAAGCTACAGATCCAGGAAGACTGCTTCTCTGTGATGACTGTGACATCAGCTACCACACTTACTGCCTGGATCCCCCACTGCAGACAGTTCCCAAAGGAGGCTGGAAGTGCAAATGGTGTGTTTGGTTCTGGTTTCAGAAATGTTTACTGTTCTCCCTTTTTCTTTTCACTGTATTTAAAACTATTATTGTAATATTTCCAACATTAGATTAATTTCATTTCTCATTTAATTCAAATAATGTTTGAGAGCAGGTATATAATGATCAAAAATATCCTACCAATTTTTATTTAATCATACGCAATTTAATGCGGAAATCATTATTTTCCGTTAATACTTTGTATTGTGTGAAGGTTACTTTGAAACCAAGATAATAAAGACATTCTTGTTTGTGTTTTGCAGGTGTGTTTGGTGCAGACACTGTGGAGCAACTTCTCCTGGTCTAAGATGTGAATGGCAAAACAATTACACACAGTGTGCTCCTTGTGCAAGTTTATCTACCTGCCCAGTCTGCTTTCGTAATTATAGAGAAGAAGAGCTCATTCTTCAGTGTAGGCAATGCGATAGGTAACATTTTGTGAAATTGATTTTCATGGGTCACATTTTACCCCACTAGTGTAACATCATAAGGATGGGAGGAAGGGTTGTCTTGTGGTGAAGCCAACTGGAGTGGGATTTTTAGAATATGTTAATTCATTTCCCAGTTTTGCCACCGATTTCCTGTGTGAGTCTGGGAAAATTACTAAATTTCTTTGTATCTTGGTTCTCTATCTGTAAAAGTAATATTTGGTTGCCTCACAGGATTGTTGTGAGGACAAATGTGTAAGTACTTTGCAGAGTATCATATAAATAGATAAGAATAAAATAGAGCATTAGGCAAAGCAAAGCTAAAGAGTGTCTGTAACATAAATACAGTTATAGAGTATTTCTTATTAAGTGTAATAGATAATCTAAGTGAATATATCCAGTATTTAAATGCATATAAAGGAAAAAAATATATAGAGAACTTGGATCATCATTGTTTCTTCTTAAAAAATTTAAATTGAAAATATATCCCTTTACTTTTTTCCTCAAAAGCCATATACTGATATTTGAGTCTCCTAAGATGTTAGCCATTTCCTTTAAATTGTATTTCCCTCCTTCCCCCACTTAATTTCTAGATGGATGCATGCAATCTGTCAGAATTTAAGCACAGAAGAAGAAGTGGAAAACATAGCTGATATTGGTTTTGACTGTACCATGTGTAGGCCATACATACCACCAACAAATGGTAAGAGGACTTTTGAAACCAATGGATGAAATGGCAGCAGGGCACAATGCAATGCAATAGATTTGGGAGTGTTTTTTATGGTTCTGTGCTCTGGCTGGTAAAGTTCTGGACCACTGCAGAATGGAGGCTTTCCAATTTTTAAAGTCTAGTTAGAACATAAGAACGGCTATACTGTGTCAGACCAAAGGTCCTCCAACCCAGTATCCTGTCTTCCGGATACAGTACCAGATGCCCCAGAGGGAGTGAACAGAACAGGGAATCTTCTAGCAATCCCTCTCCTGTCACCCATTCCCAGCCTCTGGCAGAGGCTAGGGACATCATTCCTACCCATCCTGGCTAATAGACATTGATGGACCTAGCCTCCATGAATTTATCTAGTTCTTTCTTGAACCCTTTTAAAGTCCTGGTCTTCACAACCTCCTCTGGCAAGGAGTTCCACAGGCCAACCGTGCACTGTGTGAAGAAAAGCATCCTTTTGTTTGTTTTAAACCTTCTGCCTATTAATTTCATATGGTGACCGTGACCACTACTTTTTAAGTTATGGGAACAAGTAAATAACTTTTTTCCTTATTCACTTTTTCCATACCAGTCATAATTGTATAGACTTCTATCATATCCCCCGTTGGTCTCCTCTTTTCTAAGCTGAAAAGTCAGTCTTTTTAATCTTTTTTTTTTAATCTCTCTTCATATGGGACCTGTTCCAAACTCCTAATCATTATGGTTGCCCTTTTCTGAACCTTTTCCAATGCTAATATATCTTTTTTTTAAATGTGGCAACCACGTCTGTACGTAGTATTCCAGATGTGGGCATACAATGGTTTTATATAAAGGCAATAAGATATTCTCTTTCTTATTCTCTGTCCCTTTTTTAATAATTCCTAACATTTTGTTTTCTTTTTTGACTGCCGCTGCACATTGAGTGGGTGTTTTCAGAGAACTATCCACAGTGACTTCAAGATCTCTCTCTTGAGTGTGTGTGTGTATATATATATATATGTATATATATATATCGAGAGAGGGAGAGAGAGAGATCAGATTATTTTTTTACAATGTGCATTGGTGTACATTTACCAACATTACGTTTCATTTGCCATTTTGTTGCTCAGTCACTTAGTTTTATGAGATCTTTTTGAAGCTCTTCACAGTCTGCTTTGGTCTTGAGCAGTTTAGTATCATCAGCAAATTTTGCCACCTCACTGTTTACCCCTTTCTCCAGGTCATTTATAAATAGGTTGAATAGGATTGGTCCCAGTATGGATTCTTGAGGGGCACCACTAGTTACCTCTCTCCATTGTGAAAACTGTCCATTTATTCCTACCCTTTGTTTCCTGCCTTTTAACCAATTTATGAGAGGACCTTCCTTCTTATCCCATGACAACTTACTTTACTTAAGAACCTTTGGTGACAAACCTTGTCAAATTTGTTGACCCCCTCAAAGAACTCTAGTAGATTAGTAAAGCATGATTTCCCTTTACAGAAACCATGTTTACTTTCCCCCAACATATTATGATCATCGATCATCTATGTGTCTGACAATTTTATTCTTTCCTATAGTTTAAATTAATTTGCCTAGAATTGACATTAGACTTACTGGTCTGTAATTGCCAGGATCACATTTAGAGTCCTTTTAAAATGTTGTTGGTGTCACATTAGCTAACTTCCAGTCATTAGGTACAGAAGCTGATTTAAAGTATAGGTTACAAACCACAGTTAATAGTTCCGCAATTTCCCATTTGAGTTCTTTCAGAACTCTTGGGTGGGTGCCATCTGGTCCCTGTGATTTGTTACTGTTAAGTTTATCAATTTGTTCTAAAGCCTCCTCTAATGACACCTCAATCTGGGACAATTCCTCAGATTTGTCACCTAAAAAGAACGGCTCAGGTTTGGGAATCTCCCTAACGTCCTCAGCCATGAAGACCAAAGCATGGAATTCATTTATTTTCTCTGAAATGACCTTATCATCTTTGAGTGCTCCTTTGGCATCTCGATTGTCCAGGGGCCCCACTGGTTGTTTAGGAGGTTTCCTGCTTCTGATGTACTTAAAAAAACATTTTGTTCTTACTTTTCTATTTTTTATTTAGCTGGTCTTCAAACTCCTTTTTGGCTTTTCTTATTCTATTTTTACACTAAATTTGACAAAGTTTATGTTCCTTTCTGTTTTCCTCACTAGGATTTAACTTCCACTTTTTAAACAATGCCTTTTTATCTCTCACTGCTTCTTTTACTTGGTCGTTAAGCCTTGGTGGCACTTTTTTGGTTCTTTAGTACCCCATAGTGACTCACTGCCAGAACACCACTACAGCATCAGGAAAGATTTAGCAGATTGTCAAAGGTTGAGTTATTTGGTAGAAAGTGGAAATATGAACAACTTATTGAATGTAGATTGGGAAAATATCCATTAACACATTTGAGTCTGAGATCTATTTCAAATCAAGGTGTTGAGAGGATGAAACAGATTCCTAAAAGATATTTGTGCAGGAATATTAGCTTCCAGTTCCAGACAGGGCAAACCTTCCTTAGCTCAACACTTTCAGGCCTTTTTAGGTTACAGTAGCAATATCCAGAGTGTATGTGACCTTTCCCCTATCTTAGATTATCACACACCACTAAAGCCACTACTTCTGCCCCCAGAACTTTGTAGCCAATTCCTTCTTGAAAACAGTTCATGAAAGAACTCCTCTGCAGGAGAAGCATCAAAATCATTTGACAGCTACAGCTGTGCTCCTCCCTGTTACAGTACTGCCTACCTGAAGAGATGAAAAATCATGAGTCAGACTCCCTTAAGAGATCAAAAGTCATGAGTCCAATCCCCAAAAATCAAGAGACAGTTCCAAAAATCACGAATAAAAAATTAATAAGGGGGGGGAAGTTGTCTGTCATTTGATTTTTGAACTCCTTCCCCTGCTCATCCCTGTGTGTGAGAGCAAGTGAGACAGTATTGTCAGAATTTAATCTTTCAAGTCACCAGGGCCTGATGAAATGCATCCTAGAATACTCAAGGAGCTGATAGAGGAGGTTTCTGAGCCTTCAGCTATCATTTCTGAAAAATCATGGAAGACAGGAGAGATTCCAGAAGACTGGAAAAGGGGCAAATATAGTGCCTGTCTATAAAAAGGGAAATGAGAACAACCCAGGAAACTACAGACCATTCATTTTAACTTGAGCAAGTAATTAAAGAATTCATCTGCAAATATCTGGAAGAAAATAAGGTGATAGGTAATAGCCAGCATGGATTTATCAAGAACAAATCACGTCAAACATATCTGATAGCTTTCTTTGTCAGGATAACAAGTCTTGTGGATAAGAGAGAAGCAGTGGACGTGGTATACCGAGACTTTAGTAAGGCATTTGATATGGTCTCTCATGATCTTGTTATCAATAAACTAGGCAAATTCAACTTAGATGGGGCTACTATAAGGTGGGTGCATAACTGGCTGGATACCCATTCTCAGAGAGTAGTTATTAACAGTTCACAGTCATGCTGGAAGGGTATAACAATTGAGTTTCCACAGTGGGGACTGTTTTAGGACCAGTTCTGTTCAATATCTTCATCAACAATTTAGAAATTGGCATAGAGAATATGTTTATTAAGTTGGCAGGTGATACCAAACTGGGAGGTGTTGCAAGTGCTTTGGAGGACAGGGTCATAATTCAAAATGATCTGGACACACTGGAGAAATGGTCTATGGTAAATAGGATGAAGTGTAATAAGGACAAATGCAAAGTACTCCACTTAGGAAGGAACTATCTGTTTCACACATACAGAATGGGAGGTGACAGTCTAGGAAGGAGTACTGCAGAAAGGGGTGCACTGATTAGGCCTCAGTTGGAGTATTGTGTCCAGTTCTGGGCACCACATTTCAAGAACGATGTGAAGAAATTGGAGAAGGTTCAGAGAAGACCAACAAGAATGATTAAAGGTCTAAAAGACATGAGCTATTAGGGAAGACTTTGAAATAATTGGGCTTATTTAGGAGAAGGAGAGGAGAAGATTGAGAGGGGACATGATAGCAGTTTTCAAGTATCTAAAAGGGTGTCACAAGAAGGAGGGAGACAAATTGTTCTCCTTGGCCTCTGAGAATAGGACAAGAAGCAATGGGCTTAAACTGCAGCAAAGGAGGTTTAGGTTGGACATTAGGAAAAACTTCCTAACTGTCAGGGTGGTTAAACACTGAAATAAGTTGCCTAGGGAGGTTGTGGAATCTCAATCTCTGGAGATATTTAAGAGCATTTTAGATAGACATCTGTCAGGAATGGTCTAGACCAACTTGGTCCTGCCATGAGGGCAGGGGACTGGACTCGATTACTTCTCAAGGTCCCTTCCAGTTCTAGTGTTCTATGATTCTATGATTCAGGTTTGTTGGGAAAGTAATTTTGGTCTCTGCTGAAGGAATTCCCACCCCAACATGTGCTCATCCCCACCCCAGCAATTAATTCTGCCTCCCTTCAGTCCAGCTCCCATTCCATCAATTCAGCTCCCCTCTCAGTTCATTCCCTAGTCCATAGTCCCTCAGTTCTGCCTCCCATCAGCTGAGCTCCCCCCTCCTAGCTTTGCCCCTCAGCTTCACCTATGCTTGTTCTGTGGTTCTCCACTCTCTCTTCCGAGGCTTTGGTCTTCACAAAAGTTCTGGTCTTCATAACATTCTCCAGCAAGGAGTTCCACGGGTTGACTGTCCATTGTGAGAAGAAATACTTCCTCTATTGGGGTTTAAACCTGACAGAGCATCAGTGTAGATGCTGCCGTTCATTATGTCACCATAATTGGTCTCCCACAATACCCTCCAATTCCCATTGTGACTACTCTGTTCACTGTTTTGAATTCAGTTGCCTTGCATGCATGCACTCCTCTTCTTTCAAAGTTCCCAGAAATTCTAACAGCCAAGTATGCAGCTCACAGCAGGAAACCCCAAATCATTAAAGGAATGCCACTGCTCTCTCCTGCAGAAGGAACACACAGGCAATGGTGGATGTGTGTGTCTGTGAAAGATTGCTGTTCTTTGCAGAGCCAGCAGGGAGGCCCAGCTCATGTGCAGGGGTGTTCGCCTCTTCTGCATGAGAATTTGCTTCTGGTAGCTGTCTGAGCTTAGAGGCAACATGCTGATCGACTCACTCTCCCCTAAAACACACTCTTGTTTGTTTCTCCTACACACACTCAAGCTCCCTGTTTCCACTCCCTCCCTCCCCCCTGCCCACTTGATTTGAAAAGTGGTTGGTTAATCCAGTAAGTGCCCAGTGGAATTGAGAAACCTGTATCATATGTTGCTGTACCTGTCCCATGAGACATTGCAAACCTTTCCCAAGCAGCAAGTTGCTATCCACAGTGCACAATTCTCTGTGGGTGCATCTATACTGCACAGTTACTTCAAGATAACAAGCGTCTTTTCAAAATAACAATGTGAGCATCTACACAGCCATTCCATGACAGGCAGTCCCCGGGTTACATACAAGATAGGGATTATAGGTTTGTTCTTAAGTTGAATTTGTATGTAAGTCGGAACTGGCTCCAGAATCCAGCTGCTGCCACTGAAACTGACAAGGGGCTGACTACAGGAAGCCGGAGGCAGAGTTGCTCTGCCCCCAGCTTCCTGGAATCAGCCTGATCAGTTTCAACAGCTGCTGAATCTGGAGCCTGGGACAGAACAGCTGGGGCGCTGCCCCGTAGGTTCCCACAGGACCAACCCGGCAGCACCCCAGCTGCTCTACCCGAGCTGTCCCGCAACAAAAGCCTGGTCTGCGGGGGGGGGGAGGGGCGCACCAGGGAGACCCGAGCAAAGCCGCACAGGCGGAGAGACCCCGCTGCCCGTGTGGCTTTGCTCCTGTCTCCCTGGTCTGCTGGGGGGGTCCAGCGGCTTTGCTGGACCCCCCCCCCCCCCAGACTTGGGGAGCAGGGGGGAGCCTTT